ATCAATATAAAATAGGATCATTCTCCTTTTGTCATTATTATTATATCCTCCCCCCCATTTTACTCCATCATCTGACACATTGAAATTAATTTCTACTCCTTTGACAGAATTCTTTTGATGACAGGGACATTGTTTTGTTCCTTGTCTGACACTTGAAAATTGTACGTTGTTATTGTTAGGTGCTATTGAATAGCCTGTGACCCATAGCTACCCTGTGTGCATTAGCACTGAAAGCTGCCCTATCCTGCACCAGTCTCATTGTCTCCAACAGACCTAATCCCATTGCTTCAGTCACTGAGTCAATCCATCTCATCCTGGGTCTTCCTCTCCTGCGTTGTCCCTCCACCTGTCCAAGCATGATGTACCTTCTCCAAGGACTGGTCCTTCCTGGCCACGTGCCCAAAGTATATGAGATGGAGCCTCAAAATCCTTGCCTCCAGGGAGCAAATTAGTTTCACCTTCTCCAGGACAGACTTGCTTGTTCTCCTGGCAGTTCATGGTATATTCCACACTCTTCTCCAGCACCACAAGTCAAAGGCAATGATCCTGCTTCTATCAATCTTAGTTATTGCCCAACTCTCTGATACGTAGCAGGTAATTGTGAAGACCATGGCCTGGAACAGGCACTCCTTAGTCTCATAATTGACATCGTTGGCTCTTCGGTAATCTAGAGAGATCCCTGACAGCATACTTCCCCAATGCAATTTGCCTTTTGATTTCTTGATTGCTGGTGCCAAGAGTGTTTATTATGGAACCAAGCAAGCTGAAGTTACCAACAGTCTCAATCTCTTCTCTGTCATGGAGCTGCCAGTTGTCCTAGTGGTGAGAATCTTTGTTTTCTTGTTGTTGAGCTTCAATCCATAGTGAAGACTAGAGTCCTTGATCTTCCACAGCAAACACCTCATGTCCTCTTTAGTTTCAGCAAGCAAGGTTGTGTTGTCTGCATAACACAGGTTGTTAATGAATCTTCTTCCAATCCTGATGCAGCATTCCTCCTCATAATGTCCAGCTTCCCAGATGATCTGTTCTGCATATAGATGAAAAAGGTATAGAGATAGACTGCATCCCTGATGCACACCTTTCCTGATTCTGAACCATGCAGTGCTTCTTTCCCTGCTCTCTTCTGACTAGTGCTTCCTGGTCCAAGTATAGGTTTTACTTGAGCACAATTAAGTGTTCCAGGATTCCGATTCTTCTCAGTGTTAGCCCCAATTTGTTGTGATCCACACGGTCAAATGCTTTTGCATAGTCAATGAAATACAGATGGGACATTCCTCTGGTACTCTCTACTTTCAGCTAAGATCCACCTAACATTGGCTATAAAGTCCCTAGTGCCATGGCCCCTCTAAACCCAGCCTACACATCTGGAAGTTCTTTGCTGATGTATTGTTCAGTCGATTCTGTATAATCTTCAGCAGGATCTTGCTGTCATGTGATATAAGTGATATCATTCAATAATTTCCACACTCTGTTGGGTCACTGTTTTTTTGGGAATGGAATAAATACATATCTCTTCCAGTCTGTTGCCAGATAGTGGTCCTCCAGATTTCTTGGCAGAGTACCTTGGTGAGGTATCTCTTTGCTCTAATATGGCAATTGGTATTCCATCAGTTTTTGTGGCCTTTTATTTTGCCATTTCTTTCAGAGCAGCTTGAACTTCCTCCTTCATCACCATAGGCTATCATATGTTATTCCGTGCCAGTCAATTCTTTTTTGGTATAGTGCCTCTCTGTACTCCTTCATTCTTCTTTTAATGCTTCTTGGGTCATTCAACATTCTGATCTCAGCGTTCTTAAGTATTGCATCTTGAGGCTTGAATTTGTTCTAGAGTTCCTTCAGCTTAAGGAATGCTGAGCAAGTTCATCCCTTTTGATTTTCTGACTAAACATATGTTGGTGTGCAATTTTATTTTGAGATGATAAAAGTACTGTGAGGATTAAATAAGAATTTATATAGCTGAAATACTAAGAACAATGCAGTGTTTTAAAAAAATTTGTGTTAGAAATTACTCTCATTACTAGAAACTGAAGAAAGTGGGATTGACACAGTCAATGCAACAATAGGTTTGAGTAGGACAGAGATTGTGAGGATGGCATGGGATAGGGCAAGGTTTCTATCTGTTGTTCCTAGGCTCACTTTGAATTGTATTCTACTTAAGGGCATCTGACACCACAGTTACACAGGTTACACCTTTGCTGCCCCCCGCCCCCCATTAGAATAATGATATGGTGACTTTATATCCTTTTTCTAGTGACCAAGATGGTAGAATGAGACTTTAACCTATGATGCTCTCTATATGCAGGATTTAGAGAATAGATATGTGGATTTAAGCTGTTCTGTGATTTCTAGGCATTAAGGGAGGTAATGAACTGAATAAGTAGGCGAGTGTTTGAATAACATAGTTCCTTTTTTTTAAAGAGTTATTTGAATTGTATTTGATTCTGAAGCATTTATTCCAGAGCCATAAGTTTTTGTTTCTTCTGGGAGATGTTTTTTCTTCTGGACAACCTTCTCCTCTGTTTTAGGAATAATCTGTTCCTTTTCAGTAAGTATCACCTCAGTATGCAGGGGGAGCTCATGTTAGGGGTTAATCTGACCATGAGCTCTTACGTAGGGAGGTTTGTTCACCTTGATGTGCTCAGTCAATGACCAGAGAATTGACATCTAAACCCTTAAGTTCAGCATTGCTGTCTGCATTTTTAAGCATGTGCAGCAAAAACTCATCACTTTTTTTGAGCCACTGACAGTGTGTCCAGTTTCTATTTGACCATTTCATATCTACCAGCACAACTATTGTAATGTCGGAATGGCACACACTGCTTTTGCAAAGTGACATTGTTCAGATATTTGGTGGCTTTCTAGATACGCATACTCTTGATGGCCTGGGCAGTTTCCCAGGTGTTCTTAAAATGGACCCAGATATTGGAGCCTCTTGATACGGATGATTTTGTGGGATTTTCCAGGTCAAGTGTGTAGCGAACCATTTTGAGAGATCACCTGAGGCTGCTCATGAGAAGAGTATATAGTTCCTTTTAACTTTATTTTTTAAAGACTGCATTTTGTAATGTGTATGAAATGCATTACTGAGCAGATATTGCCTTCTGTTGAAGAGAAAAATCAAGATTGATTGATCTGAGTGGAAAGTATTGACTGACTCAAGGAAAACTGCAGTATTTACCCCAGGAAATAATAAATCTTGGTGATTAGGGAATATATCATTATCTCAGTATTACAGGTTTTTGCTGGAAATCTTATGATACAAATCTCTTGAGTATACTCTCTCTTTCCCCCTCCCACTTTTCTTTTTTTAAGAAAACCCAACAACCAACTTTTAACGGAGACTTAGTTAAAAATATTCTCCAACTCTGTGAAGGTTCCGAGTTCTTTGAAGTTTCTTAGATAGACCATGAACGTAATCTCTGATTCTTTAAGTTGGATAGCCACAATCCTACTTTTATGCCTGACATTGTTATTAACCAGATACTTTATCCAAGAAATTGATTACTATCAATTCAGTAGTTTTATTTCATACCCTTTATACGGTTTCTGTGTTTTTTGGTAGTTACGATAGAAAACATGGAAGGATTATATTTAACCTTCAAAGAGCTGTAGGGACACACAAGAACTATGTGAAATGGACAATGTAAGAACACAAATGTACTTTATATTTCTGATACCACAGACTTCTTTAATAAAAATTAATGAAAGTTTTATGGAAGAGGTGAAGTGTAAATAAAATATTAAATAACATTACCTGAGCAGACAGAATATTAAAAGCATATGATTTAACATGTGACTTTTTAACATGTATACATTGAGTAGGAGCTTTGGTGACCTAGTGTCAAGAAGCTTGACATTCAGAAGAATTCATTCAGTTTGAGGTCACCAGCTGCTTCGCGGGAGAAGTATGGACAATTAACTGCTTCTGAAAACCTGCCAGAGGGTCAGCAGTGTGTTGGTTCCAACTCTCCCATACAAAACACCACCACTGCTGCCACCACCACATTGAGTAAAGAGCTAAATCATAGAAATAATTTGAAAATTAAAGGGAATATTCTACCAGAGAGAACTGTCTTTAACATTTTGCATATATGCTTCCAGATGTCTTTGTGTTCACATATATACATATGTTAACAAATGAGTATTTGTCCATGTTCATATGAATACATGAAAATATAAATATTGAAAAAATAACAATTGTTTTCAGAAAGATTTACTTTCAAAATTTTTGCATTTAGAAGGGTAATTAAATAAATTAGCTTGTTGTTGTTGTTATGTGCCGTCGAGTCGTTTGCAACTCATAGCGACCCTATGTACAACAGCCCTAAACCCTGCTTTATCCTGTGCCAGTCGCATTGCCTCTGACACACCCATCCCGATTACCCCAGTCACCGAATCAATCCAGCTCGTAGAGGGCCTTCCCCTCCTGCGCTGTCCCTCTACTCTACCCAGCATGATGTCCCTCTCTAAAGACCTGTCCCTCCTTACAACATGTCCAAAGTATGTCAGACGAAGCCCCAGAATCCTTGCCTCCCAGGAGCAGCCTGGTTTAACCCTCTCTAGAATGAATCTGTCTGTTTTCTTGGCAGTCCATAGTACATTTAATATTCTTCTCCAGCACCACAGCTCAAAGGCGTCAATTCTCCTTCTATCCTCCCTAGTCATTGTCCAACTCTCTGATGCCTAACAAGTGATTGCAAAAACCATGGCCTGTATCAGGCGGACCTTAGTCTCCAGAGAGACACCGTTGCTCTTGAGTACTTTAGAGAGGTTTCTAACAGCAGACTTTCCCATCGCAATAAGTTTTTTTGATTTCCTGGCTGTTGGTGCCATAGCTTAGTAATTTATTTAATGAAAAATTGTATAGTCCTTAGGATTCCTAAGATTTTTCTACTTGAATACATGCATATATATATACTGAATACAACCATTATATTTAGTAAAGTAAGTAGAAGCATTGTTTTAATTATGAGGAATCTCTATATATTTTTAATTTTCAGGTTCTGGGTCTTCAGCTCTAAAGAGGCCGTTTGAGGATGGATTAGGGGATGATAAAGATCCAAACAAGAAGATGAAACGCAACTTAAGGAAAAGTATTTAAAATTTTATTCTTACTTTTCATATATAACATGTGAATTAGAAAAGATTTATAGTCTTAGATAGAAAAATACAAATTAAAAAGTGAAAAATATGATTGATTTGAATTAGATGTTTACAATTAGATCTCTGTTAAGTTGATGATTATGGCTTTTTTGCCTATATATGCTTTATTGTTTGAGATACATTAATATTTAAAAATATACGGTTATAGTCATGCATATAGTCATACTTATTTATATAAATATATTGACATAATAACTATAAAAGTAATTTCAGATTTAAGTTAGCTTATGTGTTGTTGAAATTCTTGCTTTCTAAAATCATAGTAAATTTATTCTGATTACTAGCCACCTTGACATGTGCAGATTAAAACAAAAATTATTTTCCAGCTCATTTCTTACTTCATTCCTTTTTCTTTGACAGTCCTGGACAGTAAAGCAATAGACCTTATGAATGCACTAATGAGGTTAAATCAGATCAGGCCTGGACTTCAGTATAAACTGTTATCTCAGTCTGGCCCTGTTCATGCCCCCGTTTTCACCATGTCTGTAGATGTGGATGGGACAACATATGAAGCCTCAGGACCATCTAAGAAGACAGCAAAACTTCATGTAGCAGTTAAGGTAAAGTATTTTTCTTCCTTTGTAATTTTTTGTTACTATAAATAAGGTACTTCTTTCCCTATAGAAATTGAACAGAATGTTAAGATTTTAATGGCTATCAATAGACTTGTCACTCAGATAAAAACATTGGTCTTTTTTAGGGAGTGCTTTAAACTTATATTTTGATTTTGTAATTATCCAATTGCATGTCACTGAGGCAAAGATAATACTTACATATTGGTTTCTTCTGCTCTTTTTCCATTTTGTTGATTCATTTCTTTATGTTGTTGTCACACTGTATAAATGCATTTTAAAATATACTCAATTGGCTGTATCAGTATATATATGAATAACATAATATGAATGTGTCAATATTATGTGTAAATATTTCTCCATCATGGTAGAGAGCATTTTCTATATTTCATAGCATTTCCATGGGAGGAAATATTCAGGATTGAAGCAGTCTTGCTTGTGTACTTATAGAACATTCTCAAATAGCAAGGTCTGTGTATAAGTTTAAACTATCATTAGCTTACCTTTATGTGCATCTCATTTTGTAAGTGTTCACTAATATAGCATATAAACACTATTTAGATTCTGGCGATGCAGCTATGAACAGAACAGTGTTTTTACTCACATGGAGTTTGCATTCAGGTATAGATAAGGTTGAAACAATGACAATAAGTAAGTGAATATGTAATATATAGTAAGAGTAACTATGGACTTTATAAAGAAATATTAATTATAAAACAGAGTTCAGGTCTTTTGTTCATAGGGTCACTATGAGTTGTATTCAACTTGATGACACTTCACTACTGCTAAGTGAGACTACTGTTATGTTTTGGAGACACATTCTTCTACTTTGTACATCACCCTGTCAGTTTGCTGTATTGAGGTATTCTGGGTTTGCTGTGATGCTGAAACGTATGCCATTGGGATGTCAAATACCATCATGGTTCCAATGTGCACAGTGTTGGGTGGAGCTCCCAGTTGTAAAACAGGTTTGGAAGCAGGAGTGGCATCCACTTCTTAAACTACATGCCTATGGAAACACTATAAACTTGGAGAAATGATGATAGTTATAGAAAGGCATTAAGTCTTTTCTTCATAGAGTAGCTATGAGTCATGTTCTACTTGACGGCAATCAACAACAGTAAGAGTAATGCAGAAGAAAAACCAAGTTATAAAAATAATAAGCGATATTTATGTTCTACCTTGTGTATGAAAGTGATGCCTAAAGTGTAATGAAAATAGTATTAAGTTAAAAATGAGGCAGAAAAAGAAAGCCTTGAATGAGGAGAAAAGTGAATTCAGAAATAAGGCTATTCTACCAGAGCTCCCCAGAGTTTAATAGTGTAGCTTGTAATGTGTGCTGAAAATGACACACAAACATGGCAAAAATGACAAGCGCTCTAACAGCTCATCAAAGCAACTTGTGAAATATACAAATTTTTAACTATGACATAAGAGATGATTAGTTATGAAAAGAAATTATTTTGGTATACAGATCAAATGAACATTTCTCCTTGAAGAGATCTACATTAAAAATATGGTAATTACTCAAGCAACAAATGCTGGCGAGGTTGTGGAGAAACTGGAACCCTTATTCACTGTTGGTGGGAATGTAAAGTGGTGCAACCACTGTGGAAGGCCGTATGGCGCTTTCTCAAATAGTTACAAATAGAGATACCATTTGACCCAGCAATTCCACTACTGGGAATATATCCCAAAGAGACCATAACTGACATCCAAGCAGATAAATGCACACCCATGTCTATCGCAGCTCTTTTCACACTAGCAAGGAGTTGGAAACAACCCAG